AAATAAAGAAAATAAAACAAATATACAGACATAGAAAATTGTAGCATGTGCTTGGAAGGGAGCATGGAGGTGTATTTGCATGTGTGTTCATCTGTTTGGGGGAGGTGTTTGAACATGTATGCGTGTGTTGGGTGCGTGTGAATTTCTCCATGGAATGCCCTTGATAGCGAGGGTGGGGGGCCGCAACCACACCCCACAGGAACCAGAGGCCGGCGGAGACAGGCCCAGGAGACCCAAGGCGTCCGCAGCCCCCCATGAGCACGGAAGAGCCAAGGCCCCACGTTCCCACGACAGCGGCGTCCCCACCCCAGCAGGCGGAGGAGCGCTGCTTGCGAACAGCTCTCCTCCCCATCACCCCCCCAAGACCCTCAATGTATATGGTGTGAGTAAAATTGAGGGGCGGGCAGCAGTGAAGAGGTGAGTGAGACCACCTCAGCGGCCCCACCCACCAACCTCTGAGTAGTGCCCCCACCCCCCAAGGCCCTGTGTGTATACTGATATGTGATGACTAAAGTGCAATTAAAACAAGGGGAGGCAGAGGGCCACACAGCACAGCGAGTAAGGCCATGTGGATGGCCCCCTCACTGCGTGCGCGGCACATCCCCACCCCGAGATCCTACATGTGTGCGTGGCATGTTATGTGAGTGCACTGAACTTAATTTAAAAAGGTACTTTCAGCTGAATGTGTTGTTAATGTATCAGCACATGGTTTTTAATTATTCAGTCAGCCAGTATTTTTTATGGAGGATGTACATAAACTTTAGGCAGGAGTGAGACATCTTAATCATTAACTTTTACTTCAGAAAAAAATCCATTTAGCTTTTTAGGAACTCAAGAAATATCAAGTGCTTGTTCTCAACCAGATTATAATTAGAATAAGAAGCCAAGAGCATTGATTAGCTGGAGATAAGAGTAATCAAAAACAACAACAAAAAAAACATTGTTCTGGGATGGGTAGACATGTGTGGAATGTTCCAGAAGGAGGAAACCCTGTGAAGGGTAAGGGGGAGGGAAATGATAGCTTTGAGGGACTGCTGTCGACCTAAATGACTTTAACCACTGGGTACCTCCCAAGCTACAGGTGATAATGATCAGAGCCCAGTACAGACAGCTTTACTGCCTGCCAGTTCTGGCTGGGGGTCTGGATGTTAACAGACACCAAATGAAGCTGTATTAAACTTTACAGCTATGGCCATATTTACTACTAATGAGCCGATAAGGTAACAGAGAGATAAACAAAAGCACCAGAATACATAGGATTGACCCTGGCAGGGCTGAAGGGGATGTGACATTCATCTGGCAGGTGTGACTCATTTCACCTCTGATAATAATCTCTGAATGGGATTAAAGGTACTCGCAGTAGTCTCCATGGCACCTCTTACATTGCACCTCTTACCTGGGTCAGGAGGCTGGGCTGGATCTGCAGGGGCTGGGCTCCAGGGGCCTGGGTCACTATGGGAATGGCACTCTCCATGTGCACAGAGTAGCCGCTGTGCTTGGACGGCGAGGCCTGGAGACCTGGGGGCAGAGAGGAAGCCCAGTGTCACGTGAGCACTGAGTCAGATGACGCCAGGTTGGACATATGACGACCGGCCCGTCAAAAGCACCCACAGGGGATTGACCCGCCTGTGTCAGAATGCGACACAGAATGGTATGCCATCCAACATTATCCCAGAAACTCATGCTAAACTTGTTCCAACTCCACTCCAGCATGAAAACAATGCCTGGAATGTTACGGAAAATGCCTCGGGGGGCTGAAAATAGATTAAGGCTTTTAGGAGAGCAGCCGTCCACCTGGCCCCCTGTGGGTTTGCATCACCAAAGGAATGAGGGCTTAGCGTGTGCACAGACTCACAGACACATCCATCGGACCACTCTCCACAAAGAGCCACCCAGCGCAGGACAGCTTACCTTGGAAGCCGGGGGGGCAAACAATGAGGGCTTGCTGAAAGGGGTCAGGCCGGGCAGCACACAGCTGGGAGGAGCCTGGGGGCAAGGTCACGCCTCTCTGGGCCACAGCTGGTGGCTGGCAGAGTGTAGATTGGTAGTTTAGTAGGGAGACATCAGCATTGGCAAGGGACAGGGTGGCACTGGTGGAGGGGGTAGTGAGGCTGGTGGCCTAAAGGAACAGCAGCAGCAGACAAGGGGCACATTTAACAATAATCCAATGATACCCAAAGGTGGCCATGAGAGTACTTACTTCAGACAGCATGAAATGGTCATTTGCCTGTCAGCACTTATGGTAAAATGTACCACTGAACACTGTACTGTGAAATGTGTGAAAACGAAATAATAGATGCTCAAAATACTCCACTGAGAACTGCATGTGTAAAGGTAATCAAACAGCTGTCACAGTGCAGTGCTATTAATGTAATGAAAGAGGGAAGAAGGAAGCGATGGGAAGGCAGAAGGAGAAAGACACTGGCAGAAGCTTCTCCTTTAATGCGCCAGAAGCAAGAGTGCATTGTCATGGGCGTAAATTTCATTCAACAGTAGGGGCGGACAATAAATGCCTTTTTCTCATGAGCAATTTTTGAAGGGGACACAAATAATACAGTCAAATTGTACTTATAAAGATATGTCCCCACAATGGAAAAACTTTGCTTCTATCATTATTATTGTAGCATGGAGACTGCGTCATTATGGTTATTTTCAAAGTTTTTCTCAGGTTCAATGACAAAGCAGATTTTTCTTCAAAACTATTTATTGCATTGTTTGTTATGTTGTCTACAGTCAAGCCATCAATATACAATAAAATTTAAACATGACTGTTTAAAT